TCTTCACATCTAGCAAGTACTTTATCAAGATTCATTAAGCAGTTATCGAAAGAGCACCCAAACACAGAAAAATCATCCATGAACACTTCTACAAATCTTTCAACCATATCAGTAAAAATAGCCATCATACACCTTTGAAAAGTCGCAGGTGCATTACAGAGACCAAAGGGCATTCTCTTGAACGAATACGTGCCATATGGACACGTAAATGTGGTTTTCTCTTGGTCCTCTGGGGCTATAGCAATCTGATTATACCCGGAGTAACCATCTAGGAAACAGTAGTATTCCTGGCCAGCTAATCTATCAAGCATTTGGCCAATAAAGGGGAGAGGGAAGTGGTCCTTTCGGTTGGCATTATTCAATTTTCGGTAATCTATACAAATCCTCCACCCAGTGACAGTTCTTGTGGGAATCAAATCATTATTTTCATTAACAACCACAGTCATCCCCCCCCCCCCCTTCTTAGGTACACATTGAATGGGGCTTACCCATTTGCTATCTGAGATTGGAAATACAATACATGCGTCAAGCCACTTAATCACTTCTTTTCTTACCACTTCTTTCATGATTGGACTGAGTCGGCGTTGTTTCTCTACACTGGGCTTATGTCCGTCCTCCATGAGGATTTTATGCATGCAAAAAGCTGGACTAATGCCTTTGATGTCAGACATTGTCCACCCAAGTGCTCGCTTGTGCTCACGTAGCACCCTCAACAGCTTCTCTTCCTGCAATTTAGACAATTCAGAAGAAACAATAACAGGTAAGGTGTCAGAGTCACCCAAATAAGCATATTGAAGGTGAGAGGGCGACGGTTTAATCTCAAATTTTGGCGCCTCCTCAATTGACGGTTTGGGGGGTGGCCCATCTAGCCTATTCAAGGGCTCAAAGGGGTGTATCCCATGCATGTAAGCACAAGATGTATCCAGGATGTGCATCATCTCCTCAACCTCCTCATCGTTTCCCATGCTATTGAACAACATAAGTGCTTTCTCTAGAGAGTCGTCTAGATATACACTCGTGTCAAGAATTTGCTCATCAACCTCAACAACGGATATCATTGAGAGCTCCTCATAATGGCGGGGGAGTTGGATTGCTTTGTACACATTAAAGACTGCTTCCTCATCATCCACCCTCAAAATCATTTTTCCCTCTCTCACATTAATGATTGCATCACCAGTAGCCAAGAGAGGTCGCCCCAATATGATTGGGACCAGTTCGTCAGCCTCATAATCCAGGATAATGAAGTCAGCTGGGAAGATAAATTTTCCAATTTGCAGCAACACATCTTCAATCACACCCTCGGGGTGTGCTATTGATCTATCAGCCAGCTGCAACATCACAGTAGTTGGCCTTGGAGCTCCCAGGCCCAATTGCTTGAACAAAGATAAGGGCATCAGATTTATACTCGCCCCCAAATCGCAAAGAGCACGACCCACATCAATATTACCAATGCGCACCGGAATGGTGAAACTGCAAGGATCCTTAAGCTTTTGAGGAAGATTGTTCTGGACCCTTGAGGTGCACTCCTCAGTAAGTGCCACTGTCTCAAATTCATTCAATCTTCTCTTGTGAGCCACTATATCCTTTATGTACTTAGCATACTTTGGAATTTCACACAGTACATCGACAAGTGGAATATTTAATTGAACCTGGCTCAACATGGAGAGAAATTTGCTGAACATACGATCATCATTCTTTTTCTGCAATCTCTAGGGGAAGGTGGTGGTGGCCTTGTAGCCTCCACTGGCTCTGGAATTGCATCAGTATTCTTGGATTCATGAGTTTCCTTCGGTATCAACTCCCCCTCGGGTGTGGCTTTGTCTTTTCTTTTCTTTGGCACTTTCTCCAGCTCTCTCCCGTTTCTGAGTGTAACTGCATTCACTTGAGGATTCTTTTCTGTATCACTGGGGAGAGCGCCTGCAGGTCTGGTGTTCTGATTCGTTGCCAACTGCCCCCTCTGCTTTTCAAGATTTTTGAAATCGGTTCTGAGCTGCTGATTGTCAATCAACAACTTCTTTAGCAAATCATTTGTACTCTCTTCCATTTGTTGGGGTGGCTTCTGAGGTGGATTGAATTCCCTTGGGGTCTATAGTTATTCTAATTCTGCTGATTTCCACCCCATGAGAAGTTGGGATGATTCCTCCAATTTGGATTGTAAGAATTCCCATATTGTGCATGCTGATTCGGTGGACCTCTGTTCTGCTGCCCCACATAGTATATGGATTCAGGATTCGTAGGGCACATGTCGCACATATTATTGTCACCACATAATTCGCAGCAAATAGCCATTTGTTGTACATGTTGCATTGGTTGTTGTTGCTGCATTGTCATCCTAGTCATCTGATTAGCCAACTTTGCAATATCGGCTCTCATGGCTGTCAAGTCGTCGAGCTCAAGTACTCCAGCTGATTTCTGCTTAATTGCCTTTTGTGAATCACCCTCACCTTGCCAATTATGATCATTAGCAATGAAGTTATTTATCAAGATTTGGCTTTCACTGTACGGTTTAGCCATGCAACTACCCCCACAAGCTGAATCAAGATTCATCTTTGAGGCATCATCTAACCCATCCACGAAAGTGTGACCCAATACCTCGTCAGTTTGGCAATGATGTGGACTGTCTATGAGCATCTTCTTGTACCTTTCCCATGCTTGACGAAGTGTCTCGCCATCTCGTTGTTCGAACCCAAGAATTTGACTCCTCAATACCTTTGTTTTCTTAGTGGGGAAAAACTTGAT